GCAGAAACAAGCATATAGGAGCATCTGTGCAGAGGGAAGATGGAGCAAGATTGATAAAAGCAACGTCTCAGAATGGTGATACAAAATCCTCTGCTTTTAAACATGAGTCATATTGTGCGCACAGAGAAAAGGAGTGGAGTTTCAAGTGCAACACTGAAATGCTGCCTTCATCAGAATGACAAAAGCCACAAATTCCTGCAGGCACTTATCTACCATATTTTCCAGTGTATGAGACCCACCGGAGTATAAGACGCACCTTAATTTTGGGGGAGGAAAACAAGGAAAAAAGTATTTTACCTCTGTCTACCATCATTTAAGGTGGTGCCGCCCTCCTCCTCCTCCTCCTGCAAGCGAGAGGTGCAGGGACTACTTGCTTTCCCCCAAAGAAACCCCTCGCATGCTCTGGAGGGGAGGGACAGAGCACTGTGGGGGGAGGGAATCTGCCCTGCAGCTTCGGGGAACAAGGCGGGTGCCATGATTTGCGGCTGGTCACCGCTCTGGCCGCGCTGACTTCACTCCCCAGCAATGTGAGGAGCCGCTGCCACTGCTGCCAAAGCCCTCTCTGCACCCAGGAGCCAAAACGAGCTCAATGGGAGCCCCTAAAGGGAAACGTTCCTCCTTTCCAGCCATTGCTGCCCAGATTCCCCAATGCAAATCTCAAGAGTCGAGCTTCAGGTGGCGGCCAGTTCCCCTGCAATGTACAGCGAGGAACTGGGAAGTGCTTTGGATTCGGGGAGGAGATTTTAGCGCTGCCGCCTGAAAGTGTTTTTCTGCACATTGCAGAGCCGCGCGCCCCATCCTCCTTCTCAGCAGACTCTTCTCTTTCCTCCTGGCCAGATCCGCCGCTTGAAACACAGTGCACTTTTTTTTGTCTCTGCACACACCCCATGTTTGGAATCAGGAAGGGGATCGTGGATTCGGGCGGCATCTTATACACGGAAAAATATGGTAACTGTAGCAGTATTAAGTCCAGCTTCCCCACTGAGGTTTCTATCAAGGACTGTGCATTAGCCTAATTGTTCCAAGCAACAACAACAAAACCTATGTGTGTGTACCCTATATACTGTAGGTAGACCTTGATTTACAACCACAATTGAGAACAGGATTTCCATTGCTAAGCCAGTTATTGAGTGAGACATACCCAGTATTGTGATCTTTTTGCCACGGTTGTTAAGTGACTCACACCCTGGTCAGCACTTCTTTATTCTCCTGCCATCGGGAAGGAGATATAGAAGCATAGGCAGCTGCACAAATAGGCTAAAGAACAGTTTTTATCCATGGGCTGTCAGACTTCTGAATGGAAAATAACTTTACAACAACATAGTACGATTGACTTGTGGGGCTGGCTCATTGTACACATGTTGTACTCTGACAATAAAGATTTGATTTGAATTGATTTGAATTGAATTGAATTGAATTGAAACACCACAATTAAGTGAATGATCCGGTTGTTAAACAAATCCAGCTTCCCCTATTGGCTTTGCTTGTCAGACGCTGGCTGAAAAGATCTCAAATGGTGATTGCATGACTGCTGGGTGCAGCGACTGTCATAAATACATATCGGTTGCCAAGAACCCCAATTTTGATCACATGACCATGGAGATGCTATGATGGTCATGCATGTGAGAACTGTTACAAGTCACTTTTTTCGGTGCCGTTGCAACTTTGAATAGTCATCAAACAAACAGTTGTAAGTCAAGGACAATCTATATGTGGACTTTGCTACTATATGAGGCTTGGTTTCCCATATTCAGGATTGAAGCCCATTGCTTTAGAATTGATAACGCACCCATTGGTTAATGTGTTGATCATCTCTAGAAGTTTCAAAAGGCTTCCTATGTCTTTACCCTTATTCAAGGGGTTAGGAGGCAATTCTGTTTGCATTACTATGTAAAGTACCTGTGGAGGGAGGGAAATGAAAATATTTGGAGAGTCGGGAGTCCTGTTTCTTTGACTTCAATAAAAAATAAAATCCACTCAGTTGTAAGTATTTCTTGCCCACATGTCATTTGAAGCCGTTTGCTAGCAGAACACTTAAATGAAGGCATTCTTTCAGTACTGCTTTGGTGGGTTGTTTTTTTTTTTGGTTTTTTTCAATTGTGAAATTGATTTCCTTAGCCTTTGACAGTTCTTCGTGATTTTTTTTCCCCTTTCCAATCTAAAATGTTGAGCTAATTCAATTTATCTTGTCCATTTTACTCATACAACTGAAACATATCTATGATAAATTAATGTGATATAGATAATTTGGAATGTGGTGCAAGAATTCAATGCATACCCGTGATGCTGTATTACCTAAGGATATAAAATTTTAATTTAAAAAAGTTAAAGGTCCATAAATCATATTCTATCTATACTTGTCAGTGTTTTTGACAACCTATTTTGGGATAATCTCATTCTTTTTTCAGATGGCAAATATTTCAGTTTAATTTCTTTTTCTAAAAAGTTAAAAAAGGCAGAGACAGGAAGAGTGCAATTCTTATTGAATTGAATGTGCCAATTCCATGATCTCAGATAATGATGGAAATGCTTGGTCATCCTTGGTTTTAGAGAATATGACTGTAACATACCTGTTATTCTTCTAGTCATCCCATTCTGGAATCATCAAAACTTTTATATCCAAATACAGGTAACCACTACCAATAAACCTATCATGATTGGAAGTTAATCCAATACAATTTATTATAAGATTGATGAGGATAACTATCCTTGTAATTGATATGCAAGACTGAGGTCAACTCTGACGGAAAATGACCCAAAGCCAAAATTGGTTTTAAAAAAATGAACATTATTTTCAGGAGCTGGACATGAAGAGACACTTTTTATAAACCATTTTCCATTGTGGTGATACATTCAGAAGTGAAGTTTAATGTTTAAGTGGTCAAAGAGCATTACCCTCCTTATAAAAGGTTATATTTGCCTTCACTGGTGTCAGTACATATCCAAATCAGGTATCCAATGAAGCATCAAGGTATCTTTCAGTTGCCATATTATTTCCAATCACCTATGAAACCTCTCTCCCAAATATTACCTTTATTGCTTCAGTGGGATTTATTTGCCCATGATGCTGTTAATAAAACAGGTTGCCTATATAGCATGATAATGGTATCTTCTGTGCCACATTTTCTGTGATTGGTTGGAATTATTTGTATGACTGAAGCAGCGATAAAACAAAATGCTGAAGTTGCAGATGATGGCAACAAATAGGACTATAAAGTTTAAATATTTCTGTAATGAGGATGCTGCCAAAAAGGTTTTTTACTCTGTCCTCTTGAGTTCTTTCTACTCAAACAGTAAAATGAAAAGAATGTTTGGTTCATGTCCTGTAATAGCCTTGAAGATTAAGCAATGGATAAGAACAAAGGTGTATTTATACAATCTTTTTTGAGCTAAACAGAATTTTTGGGTGATTGGCAGTGGTGGGTTTCAAAAATTTTTACTACCGGTTCTGTGGGTGTGGCTTGGTGGGTGTGGTATGGCTTGGTGGGCATGGCTTTGTGGCCCTGGCTTGGTGGCTGTGGCAGGAGAAGGATACTGTAAAATCTCCATTCCCTCCCCACTCCAGGGGAAGGTTACTACAAAATCCCCATTCCCTCCCAATCAGCTGGGACTTGGGAGGCAGAGAATAGATGGGGGCGGGGCCAGTCAGAGGTGGTATTTATTGGTTCTCCGAACTACTCAAAATTTCTGCTACCGGCTCTCCAGAACTGATGAGAAACTGCTGAAACCTATCTTTGGTGATTGGGGTACTAATGATGAGGCTACTATAAGGAATAAGATCTATTCCTATCTATGTTATGGACCATAAAGTTGCCTTTGTACCATCATCTTGATTTTCAGGTAACTGACAACGTTCATATTTGACAGTGTCAGTAATTTCCATCTTCCAGTTGGATGGTTATATTGTTCTTTTAGGAGGAAATCTCTGTAGTCCTGGAGCAACCTGGTGAGAATGGAACCCCTTGGTGTCTTTGCTATATTTGATTCACTTATCACATACTCATTTCAATTCTGAACTCCCCATAAATTGTTTCTCTGTAGACAAGCTGCTATTGTTATTATTCATCTCTCAGTCTCATCATTCATATCCTTTCTCCATTCCTTGGGCTTGCTTGTTCCTGCATTTTTGGGCCAATGCATACCAATTGATGGTGTTGTATCTATATCTACTTGCTTTTCAGAACATGATCACACACAAAAGGCTATATATAAATGCTCAGATGAACTCTGGTTAGCCGAGCTACTGTATTAGAGAAACATGTAATGTTTGAAAAATCATTTAAACTTTGCAAAAGTATTCCAATTACTCTTTTTTTCCCCTGGAGATTGGTCATCTTCTTAACAAGAGTTGGTAAAAGATAATATGGTTCAATTATCTCTAAAACCCAAATCTCTCAACATTCCAGAGTTTATTTAATTTATCTCTCTTCTATAATGCTGAACTACAAAATTAAAATGCACCAGAGGATCAACATGGACTAGAATATATGATTGATGCTTTTAGCTTGTATCTTATCTACTTCGCATAGTTGCTTCCACTATTTTATTGGATATATTTTATTGTTTTATATTTTATTCATTGTGAACTATCCTGAGGGCTCCTTGCAACTATGTTTAGGCTAAGGGGTAGAATAAATAAGCATGTGAATATGGCTATGCACATGAACAATTTTTAAAGGAAATTTCCATTACCCCTTACATCCTATTCAAGGTACTAATAGTGATAAGATAGTGACGATCTAGCAGTGTGGACATATGAGCTTCAAGGCAAAAGAAAAAAGAAAAAAAATGCTGAAATAATGGGATGTGCTCACACTAAAATGTAGGCACCTTCTGATCCTACAAAATTACAATAAACATATTAGTATTTTCCCCTAATCCTAAAATAACAACAAAAAATCCCCAAAAATACAGGTACAAATTTCCAATTTTCCTACTGTAGTATATGTTCCATTAAGCAAATATGAAAAGCAGAATATAAATCAAAAAAATTGCATCCCAAAGAATAGAAGGCTTTTTTTAATCTTGACGTATTGTCTGAAAATTCTAAAGAATGGTGGTGTCTGAAAAATTCTAAAGAATGGATGAAGTGCCAAATGATTGGTGGATAACAAATGTCCCTAACACTACTTCCAATAAAGGTGAGGGGGAGAAGTACTGAAGAAAGCATGATCAGTCTGACAGTCTTAATTGAAAGAATTCTAGAGTTCATAAAGTGATTGGTTGATTAATTAATTATTAGGATTCAGTATTATAGTTTGAGTCATCTAGTATGATAACCTGATGATTAGAATTCAGTAGCCTCCATAATTGTCAACTCTTCCAGTTAAGCCAATCAGGAAACAGATAGTACAAGGACTACTAGAATTCTACTTTATTATTGTAAGAAGTAATAACAAAATTTTGAAAGCCTTCCAGGATTTCTAGGATTCCCTTCCATCTCCTCTCAAACATCTCCTCTCATCTCCTCTCATACAGATACCTCAGCATCTGAATGTATCTGTCATTACCAAACCTAATTTTTATTGTTTCAAATTAATTATGAATAGTTCATGGACAATTGCCTTCTTTGTTAGTGTTATATGAAGCTCCATCCAGAACATAAATATCTATGCTCGTATGTAATGAATGTAATGAATGTAGAAGACAGGTAGAAAAACCGCAGTCTAAGTGTAATACATGAAATTGAATTTAAAGGAGGAATGGTAGTGAAAGCATTTCAAAAAGGATTTTCCCTAGTTTTGGGGAGAATAAAAGTGAGAGATAGAAGAGATATTTTCAGATTTGCAAGATTCTATTAATGTAGCCTTATAATAAAAATAGAGGTGATGCTCCTGGCTGTGTTTTTTGTCTGGATTACCTCATAAGGCTGGTATCAATTTTACAAGTCAGAAATTACCCCTCCTATCCCTCATTTTTACTTTGCCAAAACTAGGGAGGGTCTCTACTGAGATGTTTTTTGTCATCCCTTCACCTTCAAACTCAAATTTCATTTATCAGGTCATTGCCTAGTCTGAAAATCTTCCTCTTTTCATTCAAGGTCATTCCTATATACCAGTGACAATTTGATTCAAAGAAGGTAGAGTATCAAAATAATACATGAACACCTTCAGTTTCTAAGAGTGACTGATCAACAAATGCAGACATCTCTTGGCCATGCTTTGTGATCTCCTCATAGTATGTTGAAGAGAAACCAATACATTAGCCTAAAATAAACTGATAAATTCATACAAAAGTGTTGCTTCCTATTCCTATTTTGGGAGGAAGATATTTGAGAAATGATCTCAGTAAATTCTGAACTGAACAGTTAGCGAGCTATTAATGGGAAATCCAAATGTCTGAATTTGGTTTGGTGTTTTTAATTTCCACTTTAACTTGCATTCTGTTATAGTGTTTAACAGATGGTATCATAAACATGAATACTGGAAATAAAATCCACCAAAATGCAGTATCTGAAAATGCTTAGCGGGACAGTTGAAGTTTGTAATAAACAAAAGAGAAATTGAACTTGATCTTAGAGCATCTAATGATGTCAGTCAAATTGCATGGTTCTATTATGGCAGAACATGTAACTACACAAACATACCACTTAAGCGCCAGATAAAACACTCATCCATTAAGCAGAAAAAGATGTGTTTTCCAAATAACATGTGCTTCCATTTAGCATATTGAGCCCACGAATCTTTTTCTTTTATACCTGACATCATTCTACAAAACAAATATGGAACTTAGAAAGCCACGGTGCTAAATGATTAGTATAATTTCCATTTTTATCCTCCAGATTTAGTATGGAAAAGACTAACCCTACTCTTAGTTATGACTGCAAGCAGCAGTGTGGTCAATGACAGAGACGTGTGATCTCATAACAAAAATAAACCTAACCCTGAATAATCATTCTTAGGTTAGAGATGGTCTATAACTATACTGCAATAAATACAAAAAAATTACAATGTCTACTGTGGACATGATAAGTCCTTTGGCGGAGATTGCAAGTCTAAGCAATTCTTGCAGTAAGCTGTTTTAGATCAAAATATGTGTCCAGTGAAGCAGTTTACATCCCCACAAACTATTTTGATTTGATAGGCAGCTCAGAGATATTGAGGATAGCTGAAGATCTCTTTTACCAACCTCTAACCAAATCTACAGCACATTCCTAAGGGAAGAGCTATAGTTTCCAAAGGCATTTAATTTAGCAAATGCAATTAATAGAGTTCCAATTACTGTGTCTCGTTTCCTCTTTCTATTTTGTAAGCCCAGAGATGCTAACAAAATGTATTACTACAGAAATGCAAATATTTGGGATCTTGGGTTTTTTTGTTTTTTTTATTAATAATGTTGTAGGTAGCTGTATTTGGAAGAATAATAGCCAGCTAGAAAATGGTATGCAAAGGCTTTTTACTAAGTACTTAGAATTCTTCAGGGAAGAAATACAGGAAGAAAAAGGAAAAACAAGATAAAGATCATAAGTGGGAAAGAATAATGGTGAAAGATGCAATGATAGTAATGAGAGCTGCTGGTGAAAAAAAACAAGCAATATACTTGTTTGTATACATGTGAGTTTAGCATGCAACCTCCCTAGTTCACATAGGGAAGGGCCATTGCTCCAAATCAGAATACCCACCTGTAGAAAATCCAAGGCCGGACCCCAATGCTGATGTTCTGTTTGCAGTCTCAGAAAACCACTAATTGGTGCTGGGCTAAGTGGCAACTATTCTAATTTACAATATGGACAATTCTGTATTCCACTTAAGATATACAACACCAAGCTTTCCTTCAATATAGACCTGTATAGTGAAAAATGTGCATAAACATCTATTGTGTATACCAGGGATGAGGCTTGGGCTTCATTTTCCTGCTTTTTGAAATTAGATTATAATGATTCAGACAAGAGTACTCAATCTTTATAAGTCCCCTGTTCCAGCTTGGATGATGAACTAGGTACTCAACAATCAACCACCCAAAATCGCATGCCATTTTGTTGATCACTTCTCACAAGATCACAAATAAGAATGCCACCCTAGGAGATTTTGATGTTGTCCTGTGGGATCATATGCAATACTGCCAAGAATCTCTTAGGTGTTTATTATTTTGCAATATATATATATATATGTGTGTGTGTGTGTGTGTGTGTGTGTGTGTGTGTGTGTGTGTATAGTTAATATTTCGGGTTTCTTCCCGTGTAATTGTGGATATATCCCTAAAAGGGTAGAAGCAATGTTTCGGCAGAATCCCATCTGCCATCATCAGGCTTATGCCAGTAGTCATTTTTTTTTTTTTTTCACAAAAAGAAATGCTTATATAGGGACAAAGTTGCAATAAAGAAAAGAAATTTTTTACAACCAATGAATACAATTTATTTCACTAAGCACTTTGCATATATCAATTAACAGACCATCTCAACAGCTTTGCTAATATAATTAAATAACATAAATGAACAAAACTATTGAAATCATTTTTTTTCTATGCATTGCTTTTAAATTCCAAATAAGGAGATCTGCCTGTATTTAAATTTCTGAGATGTCTCTGGTACAAATAATAACCAAGAAAGTGATCAAAATTAATAGATAATAAAATTATTACTGAGGGAGGGAGGGAGGGAGGGAGGGAGGAAGGAAGGAAATTTCAGCTTAAAGAAAATTTATTATTAATGTAATGTTTTTAAAATTGTTTTATAATTTTAGAATCATAAATTGCTCAGATGTGATTGAGTTGGGTGGCTGTAGTGAATGAATGAATGAATGAATGAATTAATTAATTAATTAAATAATTAATATCCAAGTATACCAGGTTGCCAAGATACTTACAGTTGAGAACCCCCATTCTTATAATTCCATATTTATTTTCTATTTCTATCAAGGAATGCTTTAACCCAATCTCCTACAATTAGAACAACACGATAACATAAAGATATTACTGAAGAAGGTAGAAGGGATTTTTTTAAAAAAAGTTGTTTAAGTTAAATCTTCTAATATTTCTGGCTAGGAAAAAACCCCCAGTATTTTGTGTTGTACCTCTCATACATTATCCTTTTGTTATGCTGATATTGGGTTGACTTTAAACATGGGCTAAACTCTCTACCTTATAATAGGCTGTGATTAGTTAATTCATGTATTATGATTCTTGGAAACCTTTCCTATATACGATTCACTCATTTTAATAATTCTGATTTCCATTTCTAGGCCTCTGCAAGACTTTTTTCACCATAAACCTTCTGCCCTTTAACATCAAAACTTGACTGAGGTGGATTAATCCTGTACGGGAAGGGCTACGCTGCCTACTGTATGCCCTCCGATAAGGCAATATGTACAGAGTGATACTTTAATGAAAAGAAAATAACTTTTCATATAGTACTGAACCACAAAATATGCATCTGTCTGTCCTTCGTGCTTGATTATAATGGATGTGTGTGCATCTGTGTCTGTGTGTTTTAAGATAAAGCCTTCTGGCAATACATCAAAACCTCTTGTTTGGTTTTAGTGTAACAACTGCAAACTAAATACACTTTCACAGCTTACTCAGAACAATGCTCTTTCAAATGTCCTTAGGTTTTCCTCCAGGCAACAGCAGTTATGGTCCATGTTGCAATATTGGTTGCTGTGGATAACAATGCACCGTCAAACTGAGAAACTCTCCATAACACCAGTTGTGAAAGTAACAGGGACTTTATTTCCTTACTTTCAAAACAAATCAAAAACCTGTTAATTTTTTGCTTTATCTCTAAGCTAATCAGACTTCTGGGAAAGAACAAACTTGTGATGACTTTGGAATGACTTAGACACTAAAGGACTATTGTGTTTTGTTTTAAATATCCACTTTTGCAGAACAATGTTGAGTCAAGATAAGCCAATGTAGCCAATATAAATAAACTGCTCCAGGTTGTAATTTTCATTGTTGCAACCATTTGCCTAATCATATCTTCATTATACAGTGGAAGAGTCAGTCTAAGTTAAAGTTGTAGTGCACGGGAAGCAAATTTGGAGAATTAAGAGTAGAATTGAACATAAAAGAGTCAAAACGCTGCTGTTTCATTAAACTCCTATGGACTACATGGATACATCTATGCAGCTTTTTTGGCAGTAGTACAGAAATTTCATGCTTTCTTGTCTGATGTCTTTCCACCTTTTCTTTTAGCTCTGAAATTACCCCATTGGGTTCCACCCAAGCACTAACCAAGGCTAACCTTACTTAGCTTCCAAGTCTGAACAAGGTCAGCTAGTTGCTTCCTTTTATTGAGATTGCACAGAAGTGCTTATTCCTATAAACACTGCTTTCTTAAATCAGTTTGATATCTCTCAATTGGAAATACTATGACTGGCAGCTCACAGGAGACAGAAATGGGAAGAGAAGAGCTAGCAGATTTGGAAAATCACTTCAGAATGTTTATCTGTTCTACCCTTTTCCCAAAAGCTTCAATCAGCAGCTCCCTAGTGGCATCATTTGTGGCAGGAGCCAAAAAGCAAGAGAAAAACCTTCAGCCAGGAGTGGCTTTTTGCCAATAGCAAGCAGCTTTAGTTTGACCTGTACAGCTGTCTACAACTTTGGGCTGGTTGGAAGCTGTTGCTTACTTTGTTCCCCTTTCAAAAGAAGCCAATTCAGAAGCTAAGGTAGCAGGAGAGAGTTATACTACCTATCTCCTTTGGCAAAGATAGTAATTGTTTATACAGTAGGTAGTCCTCAATTTATAACAGTTTCTTTAATAACCATTGAAAGTTACCATGGCACTGAAAAAAGTGACTTATGATTGCTGTTCACACTTAATGACCATTGCAGCACCCCCATGCACATATAATCAAAATTTAGGTGTTGGACAACTGATTCATATTTATGATGGTTGCAGTGACCCGGGCCATGCAATCCCCTTTTGTGACCTTCTGACAAGTAAAATCAATGGAGAAGCCAGATTCACTTAACAACCATGGTACTAAGAATTGCAGTGATTCACTTAACAACTGTGTCAATAAAGATTGTAAAATGGAGCAAAATTCACTTAACAATTGTCTTACTTAGCAACAGAAATGTTGGGCTCAATTGTGGTACTACCTGTACCTGAAGGAAAATTATGACAATCTGGGAAAGGCAAGGATGGCCTAACTAACTTCTCAAGGAGAAGATGTAGGGATAGATGGTTGGACAAAAAAGCTAAAGTCATTAGTTAGATCAGAGGTCCCCAAACTCTTCAGCTCATTGACCCTTTGTGAAGTTTCATATTGTTCATAAACCCTCAGACATTTATTTTATGGAAATAATTCTACTGTAACTTATCTGAAAGTCAGTCTGATATAGTGGTTAAGGCATCAGACTAGAATCAGGAGACCATGAGTTCAGTCCAGAGGTGGTATTCTGCCGGTTTGCACTGGTTCAGGCAAACTGGTTGTTTAAATTACCCACCCACCTGCTATCAAAGTGGATCCTGGGCGCTGTGCTGCAATGGAGAAACGGGCAACAGAGCAGCCAGCATGAGGGAAGGAGAAGGCCACTTTCCCTCCTCCTTCCCTAATGTTGGATGCTCCGTTGCCCGTTTCTCCAATGCAGCGCAGCGCCCAGGATCCACTTACGCCCAGGGGGAGTAATTTAACAACTGGTTCGCCCAGGGTCAGGTTGGCCATCATGGGAGCCTTGTCCCACATGTGCGGTGGAGCTGGAGGACAGGGATGGGCCAGGCCTCCCATGACAGCCAACCTGACCCTGGGTGAACCAGATGTTAAATTATTTGAATCCCACCATTGGTTTAGTCCAACCTTAGGCAGAAAGCCAGCAGGGTGACCTTGGGCTGATGAATCTCTCTGGGAAGCAGGCAGTGACAAACCCACTTCCGAAAAGCCTTGCCAAGAAAACTGTAGGGTCTTGTCCAGGCAGTCCCTGGGAATTGCACATGATTGCATGAAAGAAAAAAAATCAAAACTAATCAATAACAATTATAACAGCAATTTCATAAATGTAGGTAATATTTGAAGTATGAAAAATATAATATTTTACTGGAACTACCAATATTATAAAGGGGAAGGATGCATCTGATGAGCATCAGCACTGATATTTGATGGGAGATTGGGGAATTTTAGTCATAAGTAATTACATTCCTCTGGGTTCAACCTGTTTCTATTGATCCCAGTCATTTACTGACCCCTTTTGACCTCCAGCCATTTATTCACACATTGGATAAACTCATCAAAACTTGGGGTAAAATATTGACCAATTTGGGGGACCCTGGGTTAGATATACAACTATTTCCATTTCAAACTATTTCCTATTTCCATTTTCTTAAAAAGAAAAAAAAATGTGCCTCCCAGTTCTGTTGCTGAATGTAAGATATGTTCATAAGAAAACCTTCTTAGTGCTTGATTTAATTCTGCATGGGGGACATGGGGTGAGTTCCCTTTCCCAAACTTCTTGTCCTGTGCTTTTAAAATCAATTTGCATTTTACTAGATTCAGTGGTTTTAATCTCTTGCACCTGCTGACACTTTTCATTTTGCAATTGAGTTGCCAGCATGCTTTCATTTCATCCTGTATATTTATTTTTGCTGTGATGTTATTGTATTTTGTTGGACCATTATTCATGCTTTAAATTATGTTATATAACACAAAAATATTAGTTTCTGAAGTGTTTAGTATATTAAATATAGGAACATGGTAGGACAGCAACCTGGATTTTGACATCAAATTGGAAAGCAGCTCCAGAACATAGAGTTGTGAACAAGCATGAATCACAGTGTCAAAAGTCAAGCCATCTCGACATAGCGTGGGGAGGGGAGTCACGGCAGATGCGCTGCTGACGTGGGGGAACCTTACCAAACGAAGAAGCCCGAGAAGCTGGTTGCTGCAGCATTTTCTGGTGGTGGGGGGTGCTACTACTGACGTTAGCCGTGCACTGTGGTGGAGGGAAGGTGTTAGTCCCGTGTCCGGAGACAGTGGTCACCCTGTGGCTGGAGCAGAGTAGGGAAGCGTCCTCAACTGCTGTAACAGGAGAGGGTGGCACCCGGAAGCAATGTTGATTGGCCATTAATGCTCCCGGCTTATTTTGAGTTTGTATAAAGAGCGCTGGGAGACAGCCGCTCTCAATGCCTACTTTATGTTTACCATTAACATTTGTGTGTGACTACTCCAAGAAATGAAAAGTACAGCCTCGTTCTTTGCCTGCGAGTCGTGTTTTCAATGGTGCGATTCAACTTGGTGAGCAGAATACGACACACAGATCCATTTCCAAATCTGAAATAAGGACATTTAAATATGCTTCATGTAACATAAGGCACAATCTTTTTTATCCTCTTTCCTCTTCTCTATTTTGGAGCACATTATGTTATGAGTGTCCATCTTTTTGGCTTCCCTGGGCCTCATTGAGTGAAGAGAAATTGTCTTGGGTTGCATATATAATATTTAATATAATCTATCTATCATCTATTATCTATCTATCTATCTATCTATCTATCTATCTATCTATCTATCTATCGGCTGCATATATGTATGTATATTCCAGCATAACTCTGGAACGCCTCAAGAAATTTCAACCAAACTTGGTACACAGATGACTCACTCTCTGGAAACAAATACTGGGGGGGGGGGGGCGGAGAGAGACCCTTGGTATGTGTGTGTGTGTGTGTTTGTGTGTGCTCGAGCATCACTCTGGAACACTTAGGCCGTTAAGGAGAACAAAGGTGGCATCCTAGAGTGGCAATTGTTTGTGATGTCAGTTCCTTGACAGCTTCCTCTGGAAAGCCAGCCCTGATGTTCGTCCTCCAGTGGACCAACGGGGAAGCGTCTGATGCTCCCTTTTCTTGACAGAAGGCACCCCTGGTGGATTTGGGGCAAAGTGCCAGGATCATAGACAGGGCGGGAAAGAATTATGTTCTGATATAACTCTGGAATGCTTTGAGCAATTTCAGAATTGGGTAAAGAAATACCCGGGCAACACAGGTTATCAGCTAGGTATATGTAAATCACATAATAATTTAAAAAATATAGAGTCTTGTGGGCCGCATTACTAACTGTCCAGAGCAGCAGGTGGGCAATGGTCTGCATTATGTGAAGACCTAGATCTCTAGAAAAGGCTCTAATTCTGGGAATGAGGCTCTAATTCTGGGAAACATGGGAAGAAAAAAGGACAATGACTAGCAGCAAGACAGATAGCCTCAGTTACAGTGATAATGGGTGCACCTTTGCAAGACCTGAAGCTTACAGACAGTTTGCCATGGAGAAAATATATCCCTTTTGTCTCTAAAATTGGATACCAACTTGATGACACATAACCAGTTTTCAAAAGTGTGCATGTGATTGCGGTTTCCTTAAAATGAACAGTAAATTCACACACCTGGTACAGGCCTATGTTCCAAGGGCCAATGCAAAACTATTCTATTGAGGCATTTTCTATAACTTGTGTTATACAAATGTATGTATTAACTGAATTAAATGGAGCTTATTGTCAGGGAACTGGGTAGTAAAGTGGGTAATAGATTGTAGCCTTCT